CGGACCGCGAGATCGTGACCTGGCTGAAGTCGGACGCTTAACCGACTGCGCCACCCAGGCGCCCCAATAAGTGTTATTTTAAAAGAAGGAAGCCTGAGGAGCTGGAATGAATGTAGTTGGTTTTTTTTTTTTTTCTCTCTTTTTTTTAAGGGAAGTCATTCCATTGTGTTGAAATTTACATAACATAAATCCTCTTGAAAGTGGAGTTTCAAGCACAGCCCCTATTCCTAGTATATAGGTTAGAAAATTTACCTAGTTAGGTTTCTGGCAAATAGTAGTAAACATACATGAAACGTGTTGATGGACTTTGTCAGGAACTAGAGGTACAAGTGTTCCCCACATGCACAAACACAGATATTTAGAAATACCCTGTACACCAGGAAACCTTCACTTTTTAAAATTTGTATTCCTTGGGGCGTTTGAGTGGCTCAGTCGCTTGAGCCTCTGACTTGGGCTCAGGTCATGAACTCGCGGTTGATCTGTGCTGGCAGCTGGGAGCCTGGAGCCTGCTTCAGGTTCTGTGTCTCTCTCTCCCTCTGTCCCTCCCCTGCTCGCACTGTCTCTGTCTCTTGCTCAAAAATAAATACAATTTAATAATAAAAAATTAAAATTTGTATTCCCTGTGTAAAATTGCTTATCAACTATAGTATCCAAGCAAACACCAGATGTATTATCTCTACATAAAAGATAAATAAGAAGTAATTTTCCCCTGACGATATTTTAGGAAACCTACTTCAGAGCTATATAGTCCTTACAAAGAAAATTTTTGCTCAATAAAATTTCTTTGAAATCAGTAGTTGGTACTACTTGGTATTCTCTGAGTACTTTTAGTACATGAACAGGTTCAGGTGGAGCCCTATTATTTTCTAGTTATTACTTAACTTATTTTCTTTGACAGAAGTTGCTTAACAAGCAGGAACAACCAGAACAATAAAGAACCACGCAAATAGAAGCTGACATTTGTAGCAAGAGCGCTGATAGATTTTGCCAGAGCCATTGATTTTTCCAAAGCTGCATTATTCTGTTTCACAAAGCAAACTAAACTAAGATTAGATGAAAATAAAATCATCAGGTCTTACACTGACACACAACAAGCTGCTACATATGAGATTGAGGTTAGACCTTCTAAACACAAGAAAAGATATAACCACTTGTATTGTTAATTAACATCTTTGAGACCAAAGGGTTACAGTTATAAATTTACTTTTTTATAATGGATCCATAAGTGCTCAATAAATGTTTGTTAAATAAGAAAAGACAGGAACTTGGATAAAACAACTCCTTTGGGGGTTTTCCCAATGAATCTTTTTTAATAATGATTTTTTTTGACAGCTCACATGGGAGAATTCTCAAAGGATGGCAGAAGCAGCAGCATACATTTTTAAACCTAAATCCCACTTTAAAAGTAGACAGAACATAGGGGCGTCTGGGTGGCTCAGTTGATTGGGCAGCTGACTTCAACTCAGGTCATGATCTTGCTGCTGTGAGTTTGAGCCCCTCGTCCGACTCTGTGCTGACAACTCAGAGCCTGGAGCCTGCTTTGGATTCTGTGTCTCCCTCTCTCTCTCTGCCTCTTCACTGCTCAGGCTCTGTGTCTGTCTCTCAAAAAATGAATAAATAAATGTTAAAAAAAAAGTTTTTTAAGTAGACAGAACATCAATATTTCTTACGAATATAGATGCAAAACTTCTCAACAGAACACTAGGAAATGGAATCCAGCAACATATAAAAGGAGTACGCGCCAAGACCCACAGTGATTTTTCCCAGGAATGCAAGATTTGTTTAACATGCAAAAATCAATTCATGTAATATACCATATCAGCAGATTAAAGGACAAAAACCACATGATCATCTCAGTAGAAATAGATAAGGCATTGGACAAAATTCAACACCTTTCCATGATTAAAAACACTAAAGAAAACTGGAATAAAAGGGAATTTCTTCAATATGATAAAAGGCATCTGTGATAACCCCACAGCTAACATACTTGATGGTGAAAGACATTTGCTTCCTTCCCTAAAATCAGGAGCAAGACAAGGATGACCATTCTTGGCACTTTTACTTAACATTATATTGGAAGTTCTAGCCAGAACAACAAGGCAAAAAAGTAAAATAGAAGGCAATATCTTTGGGGGGGGGGGGGAACAACTCTCTCTACCATAGATTTTGAATATAAAAGATTTTGAATATAAAAAAATCCTGGGGCACCTGGCTGGTTCAGTCGGAGGAACATGTGACTCTTGATCTCAGGGTTGTGAGTTTAAGCCCCACCCCACTGGGTGTAGAAATTACTTAAAAATAAAATCTTTAAAAAAAAAGAGTCATCAAGGATAGAGTGATAAGGTCTAATATACATTTAATATAAGTTTGATTAACAAAGAATATAGAGAATGTGAAAGAGGCACTTTTCACAGAACTAGGATAGAGAATGAATCCTCAGATACAGTAGAGACAATGAATCCTGAGCAAACTACATGAAAAGAAATCCACTTAGCCAATTTTCATATTCAAATGCCATATTTTGATTGTAGCAAAAAACACATGACATAATGCCTTATCTTAACCATTTTTAAATGCACACTGCAGTAATGTTGAGTATATGCACATTGTTGTGCAACAGATCTCTAGAACTTTGCATCTTGTGCAATCGAAACTCTACCTATTGAACAACTCCTCTTTTCCTGTTCTCCCCCAGTCCCTGGCAAACATCATTCTACTTTCTGTGTCTTAAAGTTTGACTAATTTAAATTTCTCTTATAAGTAGAATTAAATACATATTTTTAATTAAAGATTATTCTCCTTTTATTTATCCTTATAGTCAGAGTATTATATCAATTTTTAAAATAGTATGCAGTAAAGGAAGCAAAACAAAGTATTTGTTATTAAAAAATGGCAATGGGGGGGCGCCTGGGTGGCTCAGTCTGTTGAGCAACCGACTTCAGCTCAGGTCACGATCTCACCGTTCGTGAGTTCGAGCTCCGCGTCAGGCTCTGGGCTGATGGCTCAGAGCCTGGAGCCTGCTTCCGATTCTGTGTCTCCCTCTCTGTCTGCCCCTCCCCCATTCATGCTCTGTCTCTCTCTGTCTCAAAAATAAATAAACATTAAAAAAAATGGCAATGGGTTCCATAGGGTTCAGAATCATTGAATCCCAACCTAACCCAACTGACCCATATCCATAACACTGCACTCTAGTAACCTTATCTTTTTTTTTTTTTTTGGATTTTATATTTAAGTAGTCTCTACACCCAACATGGGGCTTGAACCTACAACACCAAGATCAAGAGTTGCATGCTCTACTGACTGAGCCAACCAGGTACCCCAAGTAACCTCACTAAATATACCACAGACTTTTCCTGTCCCATGCCTTGTCTTATACCATTCCTTCCCCTGAAACTAACTTTATAGCTTTCTCCAATCTTCATGCCATAGTTTGGTGGCACCTTCTCCATGCAGCCTTTCCAGATCTCACTAAGCCACAATGAATCCTGAAACGTTCATTTTCTATAGCTGTGATTTGACAAGTAATCGTGCACCCTTTTGAGATAGAAGTGTTGTGTTATTTAATGTTGTGTGAACATATTATCTTTCCAACTATATCTTGTAGTTCTTTTTTTCTCCCACAAGGCTTCAGAAGTATCGTAGGCAGTTAATAAATATTTGTTGGTTGCCTGAAGCAACTACATGCAAAATAGACTTAACTAGTTTCAATATTAAAGACTAAAGAGTTTTATATCTGCTCTCTTTACTTTTTTATTAATTTGTTTTGGCTAGGCTCCATGCCCAATATGGGGCTTGAACTCACAACCTTGAGATCCAGAGTCACATGCTCTACCAACTGAGCCAGCCACACACTCCTGTTCTCTTTAGAGACCAAGAATC